ATGATTGTAGTCTTTCACAATAATATATTTATTTGCACTTCTATCCAATGGGCTATAACGTCGTTTATATGAAAAGTTACACACATAGTAATTTTTTTCGGTTATAAATGATACATTTTATTAAATGACGAGAAATAAACCAAACTAATTTACATACATGGACTAAACATATACCATGTTTGTAGCAAAAAGAAAAATAATATATAATAATGTATTTTTTATCTGATACTCATTTTATTCATTTCTAACGAACATGACAAATGCATCAATTGTATTCTCCCTACTCTCAGAGAAGTTTCCTCAATCTGGAACATCGATAAAAGTTAATCTTCGAGCTTCATTCAGAGAGCGCATCAAACCGACTTTTATTGGTTCGAGTTTGGTTCGAGTATATTTTCAAAAAACCCGTTCGAATTCGGTTCAGTTCGGTTTAACCCACATTTTATATTATGACAGGAAAAGCTTCTAAATTACACTGTGCCTATGCATCACGATTGTATCGTAAGATTCTTCACCCATTGTAAAAATATTGATTTATTTTGGATTGCAACACGCATCTCATTCTCTATTGAACTCCTTTAAATTTATCTTTTTATAAGAATAGAATGCTATTGCCAATTAGACAAGATTTCCTCTGTTCTTTGCAGCAGAGAACAATCAGAGAATAAAAGAAATGAATTAAAAGATTCCGCTGTGTACAAATGACCGATCGTCATGCATTATATACTACTGTTATGAATCATAACAATGACACATCAGAGAACGAAGCACCGTACAGAGATTATATTAAGTATGTGAAGCAATTGGTCAAAGATTTCTTGAACATTTTCAACAACATATGTTTTTACGAAAGAGGTAATAGGTCAATTAATATGGGTTCGGTTAAGTTCGACATCATTTCTCAAGAAATAGCTCCATTCGGTTCGTTTTCGTTCTCTCACTCCATAAATACGTGAGAAAGAGGTTGCGAACTATTTGTCTGAACTTATGAATTTAATTATCAAATGTCACGCGTTTACTCTAGAAAGTGTAACTTCTCTTGATTATATTTCCAATGAATTAATCGAAGACGATGCTGATCAGTAAGTTGCATCAGATTACTCTGAATTAGATCCAGATTTCAACAACGCAGACGATAACGACGATGCTGGTGTCCTTCTTCAAAAGTTTTCTCTAGATAACATGAAAAAAGTTATCGAATATTAGGGTAAAAAGAATCCGTTAAGAAGAAAACGTCGTCGGTCTTTGAAAGGTGTGAAAGGTTGATTTAAACATATCACAGGCTCATCATACATTTCTCGTTTTCGTGCTTCTATTGAAAAGAGGGGAATGAGAACGCAAAAGTTGGAAAATGTAAATAATTATGTTTATCATAAATTTGAACCAGCTCGAGAATCTTATATTCCTATGCATGATCTTGACTTGCATCGCTGGCGCTTAGAAAAAGCTAAACAGCAATTATTCCATGACTTTGTCGCTTTGCAAAAATGGTTGTTTAATTTTATAATACAGCACAATATACGCTGAAGAAAAGTGACCAAAGTGAGTAACTTGTTTCCAGTTTACAATAGAGTGACCACTTTCGAAAACACCATACCCTAGTCTCAATCCTGTTCATTCCTTGAGAAAGCCGGGAAGGATCTTTCAGGATCCTGAATCTCAAGGATCTTGGCAAGTTTCATTCAGGATCCCATCTCAAATCCTAACAATCCCTGTTGCCAGGATACTTTAAGGTTAAGCAGGATCCTGTTTAGGATCCTGATCCGTTTTTTTTCTGAATAGAAAGTCCAGGATGCTAGCAGGATTCACTCTGGATCCTACTAAGGATCCTGACAGGTTTACAAAAGAGGATTCTGGCAAGATTTTAATAGGTTTTCACCAGGATTTAAATCAAATCTTCATCTCAGGATCCTGCCTGGATTTAGAAGTACATCCGACGAGGATCTTGGCAAGAAAATGAGAAGATTTCCATAGCTTGCAAGACGATACCAATCCTAATAAAGATCTTGACAAGAAATCATAAGGATTCCCTTAGGACCTTTGCAATTTACTGTTCACGCTATTCAGCGCTGTTCATTTCTGAAGAATACTTTCACTGTCATAATTGTTATGATTTCTGCCAAGATAGATTCAAGATATCTTCAAGTTCCTGCTCAGATCTTTTTGTGAACTGAGAATTCAGGATCCTATCAGGATTTACTCTCGCTTCGTTTCAGAATTCCGACAAGAATTATAAAAAGGCTTCGGTCAAAATTTAGTCAGATTTTACCCAAGATCTATTCAAGATCCTGTCCCGATTTCTATTTCTTTTTGTTATGTTGATCTTTCCTAAGTTTTTTCAGGATTCTACAATGATCTGTTCAAGAACAAGTGTTCTGCATCCTTAAAAAGTAGTGCAAGTATGATCAAAATCCAGAGATGAAAGTACAAGGATCTGATTAAGATCTTTATAGGCTTGCGTTTAAAGTGTATTCAGAATTTGATATTCAGGATCCTACGAAGATTTATAACTGACCCTGCTCAGGATCCTAGAAAGAATGCATGAAAACATTTCATCAAGATTTTATCTGCCTCTTGCCCGAGATCAGCTCAAGATCCGTACATCTAAAAACCACAACAGGATTGCAATATCAAAAGTCAATAAGGTCTCTACAAATTGGATGATTTTTCAAAATTTACTACGGTTTTATTCTGGCCGTGATGAAATTCTTACAATAGATAGGAATATACTATGATTTTTATTCGGATCATGATTTAAATCTATGCAACAGCAAATAAACAGATTATGACAAATTTTTTAAAATTCTTTCGAAATCTTTTCAAAATATATATTCTATATGAGAATTGATATGATATTCACGATATAAAATTAATCATCTGTCCTATTTTATATTGAATAATACTAGGAAAATTACTAAATTAGGGAATTCCCATCTGTTGATTGATTGTACTAAATTTTTAAATAAATTATAAGTTGTTTTTTTTTTTGAAGTAAAATCTTTCGGCCAAAACTGTTGTCCATTACATTTATTTGTTAAAAAAGGTTGAAAAAATATTTATTAAATCAAATTAAAGTCAAACATGATATAGTTGAATTCTTTCAACTAAAATGAGTATTTAAAAGGAAATATTTTGTTTTGTAATTTTTTCGGAAAATAATTATGCTGATAAAAAAATTCAAATACAAGTCAAAATGTAAGATAGAAATGAAGATATTGAAAGTTGAAACTATATCTAATAACATGACACATCCAGCCGGGTAAGCTGATCGGCATGTAAACTGAAGGTCTAGAGATCAATACTCTATGTGTTCATTTCTTTTCTGTTCTCTTTAGATAATCCTGCAAAGATCCTGTCAACAAATCTGATCACATCCTAAAGGAAACCTTTATAAATCCTGCCAAGATCTTGTCAAGAAATATGATAATATTCCAGAGAAAATCTACTAAAATCTTGGAAGATATAAGCAGAATTTTTTCATTAGGAACCATTGCAGTCCTGACCGGTTCCTTCTAAGATCTTTCTTGAATCTTGTGCAAATCTTTAACATTTCGTGGTTACACGTTTCTTTCAGGATTTAAGGTTTCCGGGCCAAATTCTTGATTTTTAAATCTAACGAGAAATCGTTCAGGATCTTTATTAAATCCTGTTCTGAACCCTTCCAGGATCCTGAAATTTCGTGGGTACACACTTCTTCCAGGATTTATTGATTTCCTGAACGGTTCTTAGTTCAAAAGTAGTGATAAACCTGCAAGTATCCTGATTGAATCCTGTTTCAATCCTTCAAGGATCTTGAAATTCCCTTGCTACACGCTTTCTTCAGGATTTTATCGGTTCCTCAGGAAAAAACAGAGAATCCTCGCAGGATCCTGAACGGATCTGTCAAAGATCTGGAACGGAAACATCAAAGATTTTACCTAGGGAGAAAACTGTCGAGACTGAATTAATTCCTCACACTGACTCGAAAGGCGATATAGTTTTTTTTGAATTCAATACCATCTTGAGGGTATTATCTCAATATTTCTGAAATGTAAACTTATGTGATACAGCGGTACATATTGTGAAATGTAGAAAATTCCTAAAACACAGTATAAGATGGTTTTGAATTCAAAAATAAATGTCATCATTCGACTCAGCATGATGAATTAATTCATCCTCGACAGTTTCCTGGTTGATCCTAGGTCAATTGGTTGAAGTCAGGAATCTCAGGAAAACGCTTATAACTCTTTAACGAGACAAGCTAGAAAAGTTGATCTTTCGTAGATCGAAAATCACATTAAAATTTCCACCTTTTTCAGCGTTAAAGAATCGGCACGAATGACTATTGTAATTGGGTAGTACTTTCACTTTTTTGTCTTGTTTTAATATAAAATAACATCACCAAAAGATAAATATTTTCTATTAGCAGTTTTGCATGATTAAATGATATTGTTGCGTCATATGTCTGAATATAAATCGGCTGAGTGCAACATTGCAATATCTGTGGAAATCCGTTCCAATTTTTTGCACTTGGCTCTGGCAGAATGTATAAACTGGGTAGGGGTGTAATCCTAATTTTTCTGTTTCGATCAGGAATGATGCAAAAATATCAAAGCAGAGGGTATCCATAAACTGGAACAACTGTTTAAGAGTCATTCACAAAAGACCTTTATCACAAACAAAAGCAGTTTTTACGTCAATGATCAAGTGGGAGAAGGGATTGCTTTAGAGACCTGCCGTCTTTCATGAAAACACCCTACTGCTGCCAAGAGGCGGGATAGCTCTGCAAAGTTTCCCCTAAATTTTTGTAGTAGCAGGGGATAAGAGGCGTTACGCCCCTGATGATGAGAAGAAGATTTTCGCTTCTTTGTTATATTGATTCACTCCCAATTGGTAAAACTGTTTTCTAAAGTATTATCTTTTTGTCGCAAGAAGTCAATATTGATCTATAAACACGACAAATATTCAGAGCAATAGTCAATATATTTTGTTTAAATAAGCTTCATAAAAATTTCACAACTTCAAAAAATAAATTTGCCAAAATCTTTCAATACTGATACGGCCCCACGTGTAAAATACGTAGCAATGGCCACTTGTTGTTCAATTATTATTTGATCACCAGTAACGATTGCATCACTAATCGTTGGAAACCCTGCTGCTTCATACATATCATTTGTTGCTGGTGCATAAACAATATGTCTAAATAAGTAAAGCCAGAGAAGTACCTATATTTCATAGAAAATAACATTGCCGGTACATACTTCACATCGGGCTTATCTGGTCCTTGCCCCAAAGGATTTAGAAAAGCTCGCTCCAGTTGAAGAAGTTGATCGTTGTACATTCGAATTTCGAAGGGACTATTTTATTCAATAAAAGTTGTGTACCTTGTATAGCAATGACCAAGAGCTAAGACATAGATTGTTTGTAATTTACGAAAGAGGAGTACTAACAGATTAATTGTTTTTGAGTTAAGACTATGCACATTATATATGCATAAATGAGCTATAAATACCGATAAAAACGCTCGGGTTGTTAGCTCATTGTTACGGGAATACTGCATTTTTAAGGTGTGGTTTTAAATGAGGATCGTGGTCCCCCTTACAAACATCGGAAAAAATGATTTTTGAATTTCGGCCTGAAACTTTACAAGGAGATAGATCTTACCGAAAATCGTACGTTTTGAAATTTTCATACCTTTTTGCTGCGCTTATTCCTAGTTAGAACTATGATAACTTCCTTCGGATACATCAGAAGACTTGACGTACTCGTTTCAGGATATGAATAAATCAAAACATCTGAAATATTCAAAAATCATTTTTCTGATGTTTCTGAGGGGGAATCACGGCACTCATTTAAAAGCACACTGTAAAAGTGCAGTATCTCCATAACAATGAGTTAGCAACCCGAACTTTTTTCATGATATTCATAGCTCATTTATACCTACATAATATACGTAGTTTCAACTCAAAAGCAATTGATCAGTTGGTGCCGCTCCCTCGTTAGTTTTACAATATTGCTGATAAGTCTTCATGTGCCTTGGAGTTTCTGTGTTTTAGTTCTTGGACAGTGCTCGTATTTTTTTGCTTGTAAGCTCACTTATGAAAATCTATCGAGTGCACACGAGTAGCAAACTGGTCAGCCACCACACGAAATTCATCAATAGCTGCACGAAGGGGATCTACAAGAATTCTTATATACATTGTTAATGAAGAAGGCTCGCTTAATTACCGATAACTTCACCAGATAGATTCAGACTATCTAATGCTTGCTGAAGACCAATTGTATATCGAGTAACATTAAATGGTAATATTAAAGATTCTGATAAGATCATCGCCAATACTCCTGTTAATTGAGCTAGAGTTCTATGTGCCTACAAATATATCTGTCAGTAATGAAAGATAAAATGTAATCTATCATACAGCAAAAGTTGGATCGACAAATGTTTTCATCGCAGAAAATACTTCGTACGATGTATGATAAAGTGGATAATCTTCGATTCCTGCGTAATCATTCGGATTGAAGTTGTAATCCAAGTGACAGTTTGAAGAGCCAGCCAATTGAGAAAAACCAACGAAATCACTGCCTGATCCAAGACCAAGTTCAATACTAATAAGAGAAAATGAGTCTGATAATTGACCTAATGACAAGCATTTTCTTTTACATTGGCTCATTGGTTGCATTATTTCGATTAACGCTCATCCATTTATCATAAACGGTGTATCCAGGAGGATCATAAGCACTTGGTATCAGCTTTGCTGCCTCGATGATCACATCAAATAATATTGGTGATGCAGCAGCTTCAACCGTATAATTTCCTATTAAAAGAAGGTGAAGATAATTTGTTCGACGGTCAATTTGAAGTTAACGCTACTAACCACGAACAGCCACATCTAAATTTATGTATGACACGACTCGAGCGCCGAGTACTTTAACATATTCCTAAATATATGTGGTGGAATGTTTTAAAAAAACTATGCGTTAGAGAACTTAAACCTGTACGTATTCGAATGAACCAATCGCTCCATACTCTTCGGCACCCCATGAGCAAAACATTAGACTACGGCGGGGACGAAAGCCTGTTCATGATATTATTCTATAACTAAATAATAAATAGATTCAACAAAATTCTATACCATTTTTATGCATTTCACCAAAAACTCGACTCATCTCTAGCATGATAGCTGTTCCACTAGTAGGATCAAATGCACCTAATGACCATGCATCCCTGCAATTGAAAAGATGATGCATTAAGATAATTCTCCATAGTAAACAACTTACCGATGATTACCAATGACAACATATCGATCTTTCAAACAGAAAATGAATAAAAAATTAAAAGTTATGATAGAGGAATGTAGCAGGTTCGATCTCTCCTTTTACGATTCCGATAACATCATAGGTATCACGACGTTCACGTCTGTTATATGAAGTAATTTCGATCGAACTAAATCATTTACTCGAAAGTGTTACTTAAAAACTTTATAAGACTCTTACGTTCCATTGTTCAGAATTCCTCCGTAGCGGTATGTTATATTAGCCAATTTTCCATGCCATTCTTTTGGAGTCTCTGGACCTGAGAGATATCTGTCAATATTAAATAAAGCAACCTATAATGTGTATTGATGTCGTTCATCAATATTTTCTTACTGCAAAATTCGACGAGCTTCTTCATAACCAATAGGCTGAGCTTGAACAGTAGGTAAGACTTTGATATTTTCTTCTCTAACGCGATACATGTAGTCTATGAAAACATATGTTTAAAAGAGAAAGACATAACACATAACATATATTGATGATGAGCAGCGAACGTAACATGTTCTTCTCCTAGATTTAGTTTGAAACTGTTTTCTTTCGATAATATCTCGTTTCTAGAAAAAAAAGGAATTATTAACTCACATCTGTTCTAAGGTTTCAGAAAGTCAACTAATTTGTTAAAGGAAAAGAAAACATGGGGTTTTCAGTCTTTGCTAATATCAAAATATTTTCATGATCGGAAACCTGTAGATGGATAGCCAGGTGTTAGTGGATCACCATCTGCCGCATAAGCAGTGCCTCTTTGTGTGCCACTTTCTGGCATATACCAAGTTTGATTATAGGTTTTATCAGGTGTAGTGCCTAGGGGAGCATAGTCTGCTGGATCATTGTATAAAATAACACCAACAGCACCAGCATGCTGAGCATTCATTATCTGTCAATCAAACACTTGTTTACTTGAAGAATTATTCAAAAAATAAATTCTTACCTTATCCGCACGAAAAATTCGTCCATACCGTATTATTATAATACTACCACGAAGTTCAGCTGTTCCAACTAGGTTTGTAAGCACTTGAATATCTTTGACTGTACCAAAGTTAGCATAAAATAATTTCGACTATAGTTGCATCTTAGATAAGATGAAAAAAAACTGAAATAATGAACTTACACTTGTTACAGTGCCATTAAGTGTATAAGCAAGAAATGGATTGACTGTTTTAGGCTGTGTTGAATCATAGATTGCTTCAACACCAGCCGTTTGAAATATAACAGTGTTACCATTTTTCAAAGTTACTCTAAATATAAGATGTAACATGAATCGGAAAATGATATAATGATGAAAATAAATCGGTATACCGATTTGGATTGTTTTCATCGGGATATGAAAGAAGTACATTGTACCTTGGCTTAGTTACTTCGAAACCATCATTCAACCATCGTTTTTCGATTACTTCAGCACTTTCCAGATCTTCGGCTAGACCAGCCAAATGTGGTCGTGATGTAAGATCTCTAGAACATAATAAATGTTTGTTTCAATACAATTTTATTCTATGAGTACCTAAGGTTGTCTTCAATATTAGGCGCTTGAATCGAATCAATGAAAACTTTATAGTTTTTTGGATCCGGTTTCCGCAAAAGGAAATCATACTTCGAAGATTTAATATTATTTGAGATAGCAAAATAACCGATAATAATGCCTATACCGAATGTAAGTATTGCTATGGCTATCGATATGAAAATTGTCCACTATAAATAGATTCATAAAATTATATTTAACATCTTAATAGGCTATGGATAGTTCACCCTATGCATCATTATTTATCTACAAGCAGAAGTGAAGTAAAACATTTATATAATAAGCAAAGAGATTTTTGAAAACAATGAGACAAAAGAGTAATGACAACACGCACCTGTTGTTTTGCTCTACTCAAAGATAAAGTTTTTCCTTTTTTCAAAATGTTAAGATATGGACATGTATATATATATACTGATATTGTGTATTCTGATAATATAAACCTCGATCTCAGTCTTTTTTGTTTGACATTTGTGTTTTTGTTGTTTCTTTTTGTTACAGTGAATATGCCTCGATTCCTTAGTTTCTTGGCTTTTTCTCCTTTCGTTATATGGTATACGTATTCACTGATATCGTATGATATCATCTCATCTTTTTTCTGACTTCCAGTAACTCTTGTATTCCTTTCTTCTTTGTTCACATCACTTATATATAAACCGATGTTTTTCTATAAATAGACGAGCCGGTATTAACCGAAAAATTGGTCCACACATATCACTCTAATACTTTTTCATTACTTTTCTTGATCCTTGATTAACTTTTGTATTTTAGTGTAGTCGAAAAGTGGCTACATTCTAAAATCGGTCAGTGTGTCCTTCTGTCTGTTTAAACGATAGCTTTGGAAAGAAGAATCAGAGCGGAGTGAAAATTCCTACACAGTTTAGTCTCAACAATATCTTGGTCAAGTTCGAAATGAGAATGATTGGCCGAACAGCTTCCGAGCTATTAGGCTGGAGGTAAACACAGTTCTACCCATTAAACGAGGATTAACTTGATTATCTAATAATCCAGCACTTTATCAAATTATAAATGGATTCTTTTGGAAATCTGTTTTTCATCTTGTCATACATATGCCATTGTGGACTTCACGTCTCAACAGAAATTTAGTCTCGATTGGAATGGACTATGTTTCAGGAATCGTTACAAAAAAACTTGACTGCTACATGCATAAAAATAAAATAAAATACGAAACTTAGCACATAAGAAAGAAAATCGAAGTTCGTAAAACGATAAAATTCATCGGAATTAAAAGAAAAAAAACCAATTATACTAATACCTTCACAATAAACTCCTTTTAATCTCAATTTTCGCATGAATTGGCAAGTTTCGTGATATTTTTGCTAATAAATTTTGATCCAGTTGAACAAGATATAGCTTTGTATAATTAGAAGATCAGCTATCATTTTTTATCATTTGTTCTGCTTGTGCGAAAGCATCAGCTTAATGAGGGAACTATCCTGCAGCAAAATCTCTAGTCTTGTGAGCTTCGTCATATACTTGATTTTCAATGAATGCAGTTATCACCATTACGAAATGATCGAAAATAACATATAAAGTTTCTCACAAAGTCGTTTCAGTGAATTTAGAAGCTGCTTCTTCGAGCTTTTCAAGTGCTAACTCTATTTTTTCAACAGCTTCTTTTAGCTTCTCTTTCCTTTTTTGATACAATTTTAGTTCTTGTTCATTTATCATTAATGCTGCTTCTGCTATCTGCTTGCAACGACTGATAGTCTTCGTAGTCGACCGATTGGCTGCATATGTTTCTGCCAGTAGCTTACAGAGACTGGTAGTCTTTGAAGAATATTTCGAGGGTGCATCCTTCTCAATAACGTCCTGCTGCGTTGCCTAACATTTAGCTGTCTGTTCTACCTCAGCCTTCTTTTCCATTGCGAGTTTTCAGCCTTATCCTGGGTCTCTTTCTCCGTGGCGATTTTGGTTGCCTCTTCCTGTGGTTTTTTCTCAGGTGCAAGTTTTGCAGTACGTTTTTCTGCTGCCCTCTTCTCATAACTGCTGCCCTGTATAGGGTGTGTGGGTTTGGGTCAGAGTTGGAATCGGACAGGTTTTTTCTGTCCGGTCCGGTCCGGTCAGCAACCGGTCGGACGAATTTTACAGCCAAACTGGCAAAAATCCGGCGAAAATAACCGACCATAAAAGAATCTGTTAATATAAAATGTTGGCGAAGGGAATTGAATATTCACATGCAGAAATCCCAACTAGGGGTGATCAATTTACATTTACAAAAAATTTATAAATCCAAAAATAAATTTTAAGAAATTTAAATTAAAAATAAATTTTAAAAAGTTTTATATATTTCGAATTTAAATTGGATTTACATAAATTTAAATTTTGTAAAATTATTTAAATTTATTTAAATCCAGTTTAAATCAATATGAATTCGATCTAAATCAAATAAAATTCAATTTAAGTTCATTTAATTGGATTTAAATCCATTTACATTAATTCATATAGGATTTAAATCCAATTAAATGAATTTAAATTGAATTTTATTTGGTTTAGATTGAATTTATACTGATTTAAACTGGATTGAAATAATTTTAAAAAATTTAAATTTATGTAAATCCAATTTAAAATTATAATAAATTAACAGCAAATCGCCATCCTTACTCCGAACTGGAAACTAAAACTTGCGACTGAAACTCTCCCTTCATATTTTATAGCAAGGTGCGTCGACTTTTCGAGCCCGACATCGATATAAATTAGCTATTCAGATCAAATCTGTTTTTCATCTTAATTTCAAAAAAAGAACAAAAAAGCAAGTTTATAACACATCTAACATAAAAATGTAAATTTTTATTTTTCTTGATTCAGGCAGCTGCCTAAGTAGAACAAGAGAATAAATTATTTGATCAAGGTTAAATTGAGCGATACACGAGAAAGAAAACGATAGAAATATAAAGAGAACAATCTATCGTTTATAGTCAAGTCGAAGATAAGATATCTATTGAGTCTTTCGCAAACACATTCTTCTGACTTGAAAATATCATAAAAAAACCATTTTCAGTAGAGAAAATTCTTGGGTGCAAACAACAATTTTGTAATGATGAACTGGCAAAAATCCGGTTCTGTCCGGCCCGGTTTAACTTCTTGTCCGATCTTGTCCGGTCCGGCAGGGCCGGACCGGAGCCGGAGCCGGATTGTCGGACCGGTTCCAACTCTGGTCCGTATCGTGACTCATTATTACTGAATTAAGTAGACAAACAATATTTAAGATGTTCATTTTTATTTTGTTCATAGAATATCAAAATAAATAAATATTATAAACTATGGACAAAAATTATCATTGAATGTCAAACTATAAAATATTTGTATTATGATAGTGTGAATGTTTTTATTCTAAATGAAGAGAAATACATATGAAAACGAAAGAAAAATTTCTTTCATAAAAAGTTCATAACGTTTCTATAAATGAAATGTCACTTTTCTCAATAGTTCTGTTTGTAACTTATGATAGTCTACTGATTAAAATCGTCTGTATGAGAATCTAGTACGACAAAAGAAGAATAAATTTGTTATAGACTAATAAATAACGTCATGCAAGAAGAGTCTAGAACAATAGTTTATTCAACAAGCAATCACATTCCTTTCCTCAATATTGATTCTTAGAAAAAAAAAAACTTATTCATTTCAGGTTTATTCTAAAATGTCGCCTGATCGCATGAAAAAAATTTCGTTGAAAAGAAAAGAAATTCTGTATCGATGTATATTCGATTAAACCATGACCATTCCAAACGATTATCTTAGATTAAAATGACGCAGAAAAGACTTTAATATATTACATTGGCACATAAGTTCTGCACGTTTGGATCAGTAGAATTATATCGCCAATATAAAACTATATTTTTAAGGCAAGTAATTATATATTCTGATAGGACTCGAGATTCTCTACCATCCTATATATTCAGGTCTTGACTTGAACCTATTCGCTGAAAAATATTTCGAATATTGTCAACGCGGGTGAGAGTGCCTTCACTGTATTCAAAATATTTTTCCGTAAATAAATGTAAGTCAAGACTTAAATACATAGGATGGTAGAGAATTCCGAGTCCTATCAGAATATATAATTCCTTGCCTTAAAAATATAGTTTTATATTGACAATATAATTCTACTGATCCAAACGTGCAGAACTTATGTGCCAATGTCATAGATTAAAAAAAGTAATGACATGAATTTCGAACGAAAGAATTTTTGATTAATTATTTGCTTTTGCTTGATTTTTAATAACAGTATTAACATATGATTGTAGTATGTTTCACTTCATCATCAGATTTACTTCGTGTTAAATAAACAAAGAAGATGATTTCATCTTTCAATATTTGTCACTTTTTTATATCAATTTTCTTTTGTATTGAATGATTCAATATAGGTTAGGCTCTATATATGAGAAGATAACGTTCTCCATTGCTCCGGTCAGATAGAATAATACAAGAAATAATTGAAATATTGTTGCTTCGATTCATTGAAATGGACTCTTTTTTTTTGCAAGACGTCTATTGCAAAGCAAACCTCCTATTTAAGAGTATTATTGTTTACCTAATTAAACATATATTAAGATAATATTTTTTTTAAAAGTCAACTATTGAAATAGAAACCAATTTTTAAACACATGGAACACAAATCAATGCAATGATTTTTATGATTTAATGTCTAAGAACTTCCACTATGCATATCAGTAATTAGACATGAATTTCAAGATTTAAACAAATTAATCAAAAAAATAGTCTTTATATTCATCAATGAAATATCATTCAGACAATTTATTTACTCTGAAGACAAATATAAATAATCTTGAAACATAATCTATGGATTTTTCTCGATTTAAAACAGGTCAATTTTGTTTTGTGAAGTTCACGAAAGTAGTTTCCACCCACACCCACACCATTATTGAAATGTTTAGCATGTGATTATCTTCGCTATTGATCTATGCAGCGATGGATTTTTACAGATTGAATAAAAACAATGTGTTGAAAATAGTTGTTAATATTAATTTAAAACAATATTGATTAATTATAAAAGTAAAGATCAATATGATATTAAAAGAAAATTAATCAATAATTTCCATATGCGTGTTGAAGATAGAGAAACATGTCATATAGAACTTTCTTTTTGTTATTTTCTTATAAATTTCATGTTGTCTGAAATGACTGATGATTATATTGGTAAGAGAGTAACGACAAGAACTATTTAGATAAATGAGTTCGTATAATCTTGCATGTCTAGAAT